GAATTATACTCTTGTGCTCTCGTTATTATCTTTAATCTTTAAGTGTCTATCTTAACTTCACGAAGCGGGAAAGATCGTTATTCTCAACAAAAACTAAATAGGGACGGATCAATAATGTCAGGATATTCAAGTTTTGGTGTTTATTTCGTGATCACAAGGGTAAACCACTGTGTGCTTTTGCAACAAAAACATTTAAAGAAAATATATTTTTGGTAGAGTTATGGGCCGTGTGGAGGGGCCTTATTATTGCCTTAAATTTAGGTATTAGTATAATTTGGGTTGAATCAAAATTCAATGAGTGTTGTGAAAACCATTAATGGGGAGCAACCCTATAGTTCGAAGAGTAGTCAATGCTTAAGCCAAATATGGAAGTTGTTAGTTTTATTTAAAGGCTATCGTGTAACACATTCATGGCGCAAAGCCAATAAAGAAGTTGATCATCTTTCAAGGGTGCATATTAGTCAAAACGATGCAGTGTTATGGCCAATAGAATTCTCTGATGAGCTTCAAACTATTATCAATAGTGATGCACAAGGCAAGATTTATTTTAGACTTTAAAAAAGAAAAGACGGCCTACTCTTAGAATTGAAGCTTCCACCACAAAAAGGAAGATCTAGCATACAGAGAAGAAAGATGAACATAACAAAGATTAGTTTGATCGAATCTATCAAATTGTAAATTTAAAGAGTTATCTTCACTTCTGTACATACATTAAATTATACTATTTGTTAATGTAAATGACAGAATAGTATTTATATATCCTCGATAACTTCAAGAAAATATACTGTCAAACATAAAAATCAAATCACATATTTATTATAATTTTTATAATAAAACATGATAAAAATGAATATTCGGAAATATAAATGTGACACATGTTATGAACGGTCTTTTTAACAGTTGTTTCATCGTAGGCATCTAAAAGTGCAATGGAGAAAACGTTATATACTTATTTTTGTATTAAACCTATTTGATTCTTAGAAGTGTTCAATTTGATCTGAAATGGGATCTAAGTAGTGTTCTCTTGTTGCATTTACGTGGATCTGTCAGCTGCCTGTGTCTTTTCTTCTTACAAATGTAGTTTTTTTGGGTTTCGAATAGCTTGAACATAGATTCCAAGTGCCAATAGGCAGATGTTGATGTTTCTTCAGCTTGTAATTGAGTTGTTTTTCATGCTTAGGGTTATATTGCACTGTGATAATTGAGTTTACTTTGTGTGATTTCTATCACAAAACCACAGAAACATATGAACTTAGTATTCATTACTTGCCTGCTTCCTAATTTTGTCAGTGTATAGTTCCGTAGAGTTGATTATTTGCCCGAGTGTGTAATGAATCTGCAGGTCTGGTGTTTAGCATAGGCATTTCAGGTTGTCACCGGACCTTGTAGTTACGGTTTGGTCGATTCGGTAATGGGAGAAATGGTTTGAACAAGTAAGTAGATTTTAGGTTGTCATTGGAACATTTTATTTATCGTGCGGTTCGACTGTTCGACGAGCTTTTGCTTCGGTAAATTCTTTCTCCTTTTATTCTTATGTGCTAGAGAAGTTGGTACTTATGCCCCTGCTTTCCCCCTAGCTTTGTTTGTCCCTGGTTGAATTCGATGATATTATAGCCTAGATTTCTTATGTTTTGACCGGTGTCGACTTAACATTAATTTTGGTAATTTTAGCATATGAAAATGAAAAACATTGCGTTATGTGAAGTCCCTTGGGTCCTAGAGCATATATGTGCTATAAATGTTGATGTCGCTGGTATCATTGCGTGGCTTGGTTTTGGTTTCCCTGTTTTAGTAGGGTATAGGCCCAGAAGAATGGTGGAAGCATCACATTTATCTGGTTTCTGAGGTTCATCGTCGTGGATAAGTAGCTGATCTACTGCAGTTTTAGGTCCTATAAAATAAACGCATCACTGAAGCACCATGTTTTAGGGACGACGGGCTCTGTTTGTACTTGCAAACATACTTCTTTTGTACCGAAATGAGTGTTAGAAATCTGTATGTTCCATACTTCTTATGCTTATTTTTATGCTGTTTTCTCAACTTCTCTCTTCAAAATTGACGGGTATCGTGCCATAACAAGTGCCTATTACCGAGGAGCTGTCGGTGCACTTCTTGTGTACGATATTACCCGACACTCCATGTTCGATAACGTCGAGAGGTGGTTAAGAGAGTTAAGGCGCCTAAGAGTTGGAGTTCGGGCAAAAGATCGATTCGATTTACGTTCAAAATTTTTACCAGGGCATTATAGTATTGCATTTTTACAAGAGAATTAAGATTGAGATGTCAATGATGTTACGTAGGATTAGTTTTAGAATATGCTTACCTTTTGCTGCATGTTAAAATATTGAAAGCAAATGAAGTGTATATCTTTGCGGTAGCCATATCCTTATGTTGAAACCAGTTTAGTTTCTCAACTCAAACACATTCTTTTCTTTCTTTCTTTTTCTGTTTTGGATTCATTTCAACAAGAAGGATACAAATGTGCCCGTTGTGGCCTTGCTTGTCTATGATATGTTGAATTTTCTATTGAACATAAAAGCTTATAATAAATGACAAATCAATGATCCACTGTCGTCCTGTGGTTAGTATATCTGGCATTCACCAAGGAGACCCGGGTTCAATTATTAACCATTTTTCTGGTGTTGGGCTTCTGTATTGAAAAGTCTGGGAAGAACATTCATGGAACGTGCTGTTTGTTAATTGTGCACGATTTAGGTGGAAGTGTCAAAAACAAAAACCATATATAAGGAGACTAATAATCAGGGATTCAAATTGCGGTCGCGTTATGTTTATCGCGGACGTGAATTTTTTTTAAATTCGCACAACTTATTATAAAATATAGTAATTATAATTATAGAAAATCACTTTTAATGATTTTTAGAGTATTTTGTAACACTTATAGACTTTTATTAATACATAAACACAATTTTTACCATCATTAATTATTTTTGTATTTATTTATAAATTTCTTAAGAATATTATATTAACTCATAACAAATAAAAAAATAGAAAATATTGAGATCAACATAGAGTAGGGCTGCAGAAAGTTTTCAATGCAACAATTGGATGTTATTAAAGAAATTAATTTTTATTAAAATCTTAAAACTACAAAAGAACGAATTACTTACCTGTCTTAAGAATATTATATTAACTCATAACAAACAAAACCGTAAACAACGACAAAAAATCGTAAAAGGCAGAGAAAAACATGTCACAAATACAGATATAAACGTGCCATAAAGACAGAGAACATGTCACAAAGACACAATTATTCTGATTAAAATAACTAAAAAAAAGAAAAAAAAAAGATAATCGGCATGCGACAACCAATATTAAAACAGGTGTCGACGTCGGTTAAACAAAATTACAAAAAAGTTGAATTGACTAATAAAATCAACACAAATTATAAAGAGAAAAAAAAGGAAAAGAGAGGAACTAATAACTAGGTTTAAAATTACTATTTTGATAATAAAAAAAATTGTATGTGACTAACCTTCCTTTAGAATAACGAAATATGGGTTGTCTCACAGAAGTCATGACGGATTCAGTACCATAAATCACTTCACCATCGTCACACAAACTGAATTTCATGTACTCAAAATAAGAAATATCATCGGTTGTAGTTTGAGTGTAGCCAATTATACAAGAAAATTAATAATTTATGTATTAAACACGTAATTTACTTATTATATTTTAAGGCATCTTCAGTTCTAAAAGTCATGAAATCAAGTATTGATATTAATTTTTTTGGTTTAATTTTCTTTTAAGATCTTTCTATTTTAAAATTAATAAAATTAAAATCGAATTTCCTTAGTTATTAGGATTTAATTATTTTAAGACTTTATATATTTTGTTCTTTAAAAAAAACTATCGGGTTTTATTATAAAAGACTAAACTAAAACAAATAAAGTCCTCCAGCCGTAACCCATTACATCTTATCTAAAGCAACCCTACACTAGTCAACAAAAGAAAATAGGAAACTAAAACTTATCTGACAGTTTCACCTTCTTGTTCCTTTCGAAATGTGTCATTGAAAAACTTATAAGAAAGCTTTAAATTTTTTGTTGAACCTGAATTGCTCTGAACCTCCATCTTATCCATAAAGATTCTATAACCGGCGTCTATCATTCTTCGCTTGTTTCGCCGGATATCTGGAATTTCCTCAACCCATAACAAATCTTTTTCTTCATCCCTTTTTCCTGATGCGAGCAAGTGCGCAATTTAATTCCCCTCTCGGTGTAAACTTAAATTCACAGGTATGTAATTCTTTTATATATGATTTTTTTTGAAGTAACTGTGATGTTGGTGATGTTTGGTGTTGTAATGGAGATTAACGGAAAAACAGCCCGTTATAGCCGCGATCGACCGTTACCCGTTAAATTATTGCCGTTATAGGGCGTTATGGGTGTGATTCCGTTTCACACCGTGATTTCGGCTGATATAAGTAGCGGGAGCCGCCGATATCGCCATATTAAGGGCGTTATACCGTTACACAGCCGTTTTTTGAATCCTGCTAATAATTTAGAACAGGTTTCAAGTCCAATGTAGTAGTATGTCGTGAACTGGACCAAACCAAAGCATATAACTGTCTGAATTGGATTTCTGGTATTTTTTTTTTAATTTTAACAATAACTCATCATTGATAAATGGTAATATGAATTGTAACTACCAAATGTATTCTCCATTGTCGTCCCGGGTTCAATTTCCGGAAATGGAATAATATGTTTTCATTTTTGGCCGGATTCTGCTGATAGAGCAATTAGTTAGGAAATGATACATTTGGGACAGTTTGCCAATACCGGATTGCATATTGTGTGACTTTGTGAGTGAACTTTAGAAATCATGAGGACATTCATGAATACTGTGACGAACAATTGCAACGAATACCAATTCCATCAACATCGACACATTTCAATCCAAACCCAAATTTATGACGATACATTAATAATGTAATAAACCAAGAGAAAAAGGGGTTTGGAATGTCAACGAAAAATCTCTTGAAGAAAACAACGACAGACTCAGAAATTATCCAAAACCAAGTTACCAAAACTCGAAACAACTCAACTTAGATCATAAACTACTATTCCTAAGCTCCAATGTTTTGAGACTTGTTAAGGATGACACCTTCATATTTGACTTGGAACCACTTCATGGCATCTTCCTTAGTAACCCTGTGCTGAATGCCAACACGTGACTTGCACCTACGACGACGACCCACACGGTACCCTGCTCGTTCAAGAACAACGTAGAAGTCCATACCATAGATACCAGTTGAAGGATCATACCTAGAGAGAAAGGAATAGTTGTAAGTTTTTGCTTTTAACGGTGCTAACAACATCATTATTGAATGTTACTATGAGTACATGAATCCACCAACATAACTAACTTCTTTTTACTATCGCAATAAGAGAACCAATATCCACAAGATTCCTCTTATGCTTGTAGTATATCATCCACAAGGAAGATTACTGATAATACTAAATCCATTATGAAGTATGAACCCACAAAACCAAAAGTCGAAATAGTCAAAAATTGACTCAAAAACAAAAGGATAGCATCATAAAAGCAAATGCATTGCCATTTCAAGTTATAGTGTTTTAATTACAAAGTTCAGCGAAAATCAATGGCCTAAAGCTAAGCAAAAGTCCTCGACATAGGTCTATCATAATCATTCTTCTTAATTTTAAACTAAAACATGTATCCAAAATGAATTATTGACATACAACCATCAATTAGAATGCATCAAAATTTGATAATAAAGGTTACCCAAAATAAACTCACTTGATTCCAAGATCGATGTGTTCTTGGATACCGAATCCGAAACAGCCAGTATCACTGAAGTTCCTCCTCAAAAGCTCATATTCTTTAACTTTCAATCCACTCTCAAGTAGTTGCATAGCTTTCTCTCCCCTCACCGTAACGTAGCAAGCAATCTTCTCATTACGCCTAATTCCAAATGATCTCACAGTATACCTAGCTGCTTGCATCAACCCAGTATTTTTTGTTCATTAACAACAAAATGGTAAAGAAAAAGTCGAAATATACCATCAGTTCCCGTATTTTGGAAAATTTAAAGATTTAGCCCGTGTAGTTAAACATGTACGAAGATTTAATTTTTAACTTCTATAGTTCTATTATCTTTTTAATATCGAAAACGTATGAAATTTTTTTATTACATTTTTTAAGAACAGAGACTAAATCTAAAACTCGACTGAAGTACAAGGATTTACAGCATATTTTTACCAAGAAAACTAAAACACAGAATTTGTTTGAGAATTTATACCCTTGGAGAAAACTGGGGTTTGACCACTGAGTTGTTCCAAGACCTAAACGAAAGCAAAAACAGGGTAAACTAATATTGAAGTAAAATGATTTGGAGATTTGAGAATGGATGTGTTCAGGGTACCTTGGCAGCACGGGTGAGACGATCACCGCTTTCACCGACGGAGATGTTGAGGACGAGCTTCTGAACTTTGATTTCCCTCATGGGATTCGATAATTTCTTCTCCGATGCCTTCCGTAATTAGTCAAAAACAAAAACAACATGATGGAAATGAGATTATGGATTAATATAGATCGTATAAATGTTTGAATCAAGCGACTAGATTATCAGAAAGAGAGATACCATGGCGACTTGAAGGATGTCGAGTTGCTGTGCTGTTGGTAAGCTGCAGATTAGGGTTTTAGGATTCTTATATGAGTTCCACGCCTGACCTCCTTTTTAAGTTGGGTTTTGGGAAAGAGAATTGGATAATTACTTAAAAATTTATTTCCTCTATTTGTTTTTCAATTAAGTTTGAGAGAGAGAAAATATAAATTACTAAACAAAAATTATTTTCCCCACTTTATAAAATTAATAAAATTCTAAACTAAAAAAATATATTTGAATCACATATTGAGTGATAATTAAGAAAGAGTGTTATTCTCTTTTAAGGTATCGAGTATGAGTAATTACATTTATTTATATTTTAAATTAGATTTAATACAAATATTAATATAAAAGTGAATTTAATATGTTATAATTAAAATGTATCATTTTATATATTTTAAATTAATAAATTATCTTCATTATTATAATTTTATTAAATTGAAATGTATTATATCTTATATTTTAAAATATTACAACATCGATCGGATTTTAATCTTACTTAACAACTTTATATTAAAATAGACTAATTCAATAAAATCGAGTTTTCCGTAAAATTCTCTTCAAATATATAATGAATAAATAATAAAATATAAAATTCTTACTCTAACTGGGATATAAACAAGTCAATGCATAAGTTAAAATGCTTACTACGATAAACTCTCAATTATTAGAAAAATTCTAAGTCAATAAAACTCTTCGTTATAATTCAATTATAATATATTAAAATTATTTTTATTTTTTCATTAAAATGATTTAAAATATAAATAAAATACATTCACGTATTAATCAATTATAATATTTGTGTATATATATAATATTGTTGTATTATTCAATTATTTTATGTTGGAGTTCTTATTAGGTCACTTTCCCTTTTTTATTGCCGTTAACTGTATATATTATATAGTGATATATTTGTTATTTGAATGGTGCAACCGAGGGTTGGGGCATTTGCCTTTTTCTCCTCATGTCTTGGGTTCAAACCCCACCAACAACTGTTATTAATACAATTTACTTTTTATTCATTCAATTGGTGACACATGGCATCATTTGATTGGATTAAATTTTTTAAATTAAATAAAAATATTATACAAATTAAATTTATTGAATTAATTAAAAGGTAAGACCAAATTAATAGAATGTGTAATTATACAAATTTTATTAATTGTCACATCATCTCTTCTGTTAATATTTAACAGAATGTGGCTTAATTGACAAGATTTAAATAGTTAGGTGACCCGATTGACAAAATTAAAAAATCGATGATTAAAGTAAAATGGGTAATTTTAATGAGGCCCTTGTTTTGTCCCATTTTGTATGTATTTTCACCGAATACCATATAAAATCCTTTTGAAAAAAAGTAAAATGAGTAAATAGTTAGGTGATCAATTGTATAATTTACCCTAAAAACTAATGTTTAATAAATATTATATTTTAATTAAATTACATTTAGATTTTTAACTAATTTATAATTATAAGTTTAGTATTTTATAATTTAACATTTTATAAATTAATTTAATGATGCTCATCGTTAACCGTACTCATCTACACTCCACGAAATGCTGTTGGCGTGAGAGTTTTCATATCCACCACAAATTTTATTTTAATATACTAAATTATTTTTTCCATCACATTACGAGTTTTTTTTAAAATCAAAATAAGATTCGAATCATAATTTTTATCATGCATGTTTAGCTTCTTCAATTGTTATAGGCAAGTTTTTCATAATTGAACTGGTTAGAGACCGATCAAATAATCTGTTTTGGACGAGATTGTCAGTCTAACTGGTTTCCTATAATTTAATGTCATATTTAATATAGTAGAGTACACAGTGATATAAATGATTTGGTTTGTCGATTAAGTATTAATTTGATTGATCTTGTTACTATTATAACATCAAAAATATTTTGAGTACGTTTAAATGTAATTATCTTCGATATTATAACCAAATCATTTGATTGGTCCGACTTATTCTACGTTTAAATCTACATCTTTAAAACAGTATCGAAAACGATCCCGATGTGGAGACGACCAAAGCCATCATGGTCTAGGCTTCAACCGGTTTGCCAGGCCGAACAACAAATCCCAGCAACGACATTGTCTCATTGAGGCTATGTGAATGACTTTTAAGCCTCAAGCCTTTAGGTCTACTTACGTCTATATGTGCATTGAGAACCGAACACGCCAAGTAATTTTGTATCCACCCGAATTCCGAAGGAGAAGCCGCCAAAGAAACAGGCGAAAATGGTGAAACTAAAACATATTTACATGAAAGAACCATGGAAGTACAAAGGCTATTACAAGGCAAGCCATCATGAAGTTACCGAATGGCTGTCCGCGCCAGCATCCCACACCTTGACCCAATGACATTTCCTTCAACTAAACTACTCGAATTTCCGATACTTCGATCGTTTTAACTCGATACCTCACTGATCCCTCTCACACAACCCATCTCCCGATGCTTACACAATCCAAAGCCATCATGCAATCCCAAACCAGCGTTTTCTTTAGAATTTTCCATAATAACAGTCTCGGATACAATCCCATTATTTGAATTCTTCGAATTTCCAGCTATTTGACTCGAATTCTTACTAGTTTCTAACCTATCACACCTTTCCTCTTGATCCATTAATCTCAAATAACTTAAAATTCTTAAAAATAAAATAACTCCAAAATTATCAACAACAAAAAAACTTGCATGTTATACTCAAACCCTGAAACTTACTTTTCCATGCTCATACAAATCCCAAAAAAATCTGCAAACCCGTTATCACAAAGGATCAACACTAATTAACAGTGATTAAGAGCTAATTAACTCTCTCCAAAGCAAATAAAAATCGAACCTTTGTTGACTTGCAAAACAACCCAGAATCAGATCCTTAACTAACTACATTTGGTCACTTCAACTCCAAGCAAATAATTAAAAGCAAAGTTTATCACAAAAAATTTCTTAACTTTCATATGTGAAAATCCTCCATTGTTGAAAGGCTAAAAGAGAAAATTCATAGTAAAAATGGGTTTTATTGACTTGATACAACAAGACACACCCTCCATTGAAATAGAAAATCAATTGTGGGAAATCTACATACATATGGAGGCTTGACAGAGAGTTGACAGAAGTTATAAAATAATCATTATATTTATTAATATTTATAAAATGATGATTAAAATTTTCGAATTATTAAAAGTTAATAACATGTTTGACCATTACATCTATTAGATGATTGACTTCTCGTGAGATTCAGATGAAATTGATTATCTATCCTCGTTGCTTGAACTTTGAGATAGCGCGAATTAGATTCAAAAGGACTAGACTGAGCATAAGTAGCATTAAGTGCCGATATGGCTCGGAAATAATCTGATTATATCTGTATTAATTCAAAATCATATTACCAAGTGATACATAAGTGGTCATAAATAACCCAGAGTTCCGTTTGAACAATTTTGTTTTCTTTATCAAATCTTAAATTAGCTGGTTGGTCCACTAATGCTAATTTAATACAACACAAATATTATAAGTTCTTAATTCGTTTGGATCTGCTCAAAGCCCAAATCTTAACTCAAAGATCACCCCCAATCGAGAGTCGAATAACGTTGGAATGGACTCAGCATAGCTAACCAAAAAGAACAAAAAATCATCCATATAGTGTGATGCTCCATTCAAATTTAAACAAAAATATTGTTAAGATGCACGAACACTTCAATGATTTATGAATTTGTTATTATTTATTAAGATATTGGATTCGAAAATCGTGAATGCAAAAGTATGATTTTTTATTATCAAATGATTAAAAATCTTTGACAAAATACTACTTTATATTCACCTAGATTTATAAATAAAAAAAAATTAAACAAAAGGAGCGAAAAAACATGACCCAAAACTGAAAAAGGGATGCTTTTTAATTTTTTTCTTTTTTCCCACTAGGTTCTGATTTATCAAATTACAAAAATTCTTATCACATAAACTTCTTAACCATTTTATTTGTTACACTAATACTATACAATTTTTTTTTAATTTTTTTCAGGTATATGGAATTTTCTGTTAAAATTCATTCTACATTAAACTCGCCGTATATGAATCATGCAATTGCAAATCCATCCATTTATTTTTTTAATGGTGATTGATTTTAATTGTATTATATATATATATATATATAATGATTGTATTTTAATTTTATTTTTGTATTCTACTAACCAATTCTTATAGTAATATACCAATGTATCACTCCTAATTTTAGCTTAAAAAAATATTTCTAAAATGTGGCGGAGAACTTTAGATTTCGTTCCCGTCAGCGTTATGATGTAGCCCTAGGCTCCACGACGTCGTTTCATGACATTTTTTTCCATTTATAGTACATCCCGTAATAGAGAGAATTTAAAAAATATAATTAATATATTCAAGAAAATATTACATAATCTTTTAAAAGATCAAATCCTATAAAAGTACATAATAAGAACAACCATTTTAACTCGATTTTTTGAATTCACAATCCTAGAATTTAAATCTCTAATCTTTAGTTAAAAAATCTTAGAAGCTCATTCCGTTAAAACAACTAATGATCGATAGAAAGTTATTACTCCGTGTTTATAAGAAACATAGTATGCACACACATTGCCCGATCTAAATGAAAAGGGCAAAAGGACCTATGTGAAAATCAATTAGTTAGGTAAACATTGAAGCACCGAACATCCTTTAACGACCGAAAGGGAAACGTAATTATTAACAGCATGGGACCCTTAAAGCCTATTAGCTAAAGGCATCTTCTTTTGACAAAAGCAATCAAACATGCGACCCTCACATCATTACATCTGTCTATGTTCACCATCCAACAAAGTCCCTACCAATAATTGTTGACAGTCGGGGAAAAAATTAGGATTAAATATTAAGGACCAAATTGTCTAAACTCAAAACAATATAGACTCATTAAGTATTTAATCTCAAAAACTGGAGGAAACAATACCTAATTTAACTCAAGTTCAAACCGACAGGGACATAAAATGACATTAGACCAAAAAATTTAGGAAGGGCCACCCGGATATCATATACCGATAACCCCAACTCGAAAA